TCCTCTTACAAAATAAAGTTGAATTCATTAGCCATAAATCACTCCTTCACTGACTTCATCACACTCTGGGCTTTTGCTTCTACAGCCTTATTTGGTCCGGTATTACCAGTAGCTTATGATGGCTAACGTTGGCTACTGTTAGTAAATTCTAAATAGAAATATCAGATATTTCTATTATTATTGAATTAATTTGTCTTTCTTACTCTTCTTTGCCTGTCATATTGTTCCACCACGTTTAGCATGTCACAGATTTGAATACTTGCTTCTTGTAATTTTGCGAAAGAAATATTAAAATGTTAACCTGTGATATGTTAAAAAAAATCAGTAGCACAAGCAAAGAAAGCATCAAACGGATTCAAGTTTGCTTCCTCTGCTACAAACCTGTCTCCTCCTGCAATGATGTACGAATACACCGAACTCTGGTTCAGCTCCCTCAATGCTCTGTTGAAAGCTGACTAACAACACACACACAAACAGGCAAAACACACCAAACAGGAAGTCATTTTTCCATGAAACAAGTGAGATTTGATCAGATGATTTCGTTAAGTGTCATTATACTAATATTACTGACATACTCTAGCTTTTTCTTCCTGGATCTGCGATATCACTTTCCGTTGTACAATGAAAATTGTCTTATTATCATTAAGAGACCAAATAACTGAAATTGTGTTTGTGCTGCGGTTGTTTGCTTCCTTGTTGCTGGTGTGCAGTGCACTAAATCATCTGGGGAGCATTTCAGGACAACGTTTACCGTGATGAGAAAAGCCATTCGACCAGAAGTCCCACAGCCACTCAGTACAACAAGGCTGTCCTGAGGATCCTGTCAAAGATAGAGAAGACAGGCTTTAACAACCTGTCTCACTGACCAACAGAAATACAGACAGACAGAGAGAAGATACCTTGAGAACGAGCTGCACCCTCTTAGCAACCTCCACCACTGTTTCCACCACTCGTTCACTCAAAAGCCTCTGAAAATGACAACCAAATAATCATTTCCTAACAGGAAATTTTCAGAATAAAGTTTTTTTTTTTTTAAATCTCAAAATTACTCTCATTATTCTACTCATTGTTGATGGAATACCTGGTATGTGGCTCCCGTCTCTTCTTGAAACATCTGGGCGTCACAGGCCTGTAACATCCTCACTATACATTTGGCTGAAGCCCGGTCGATGTCGCGCGTCAGGGGATTGGACTTCTCCGAAACAGGAAGTGACGGCTCGTAATCTGGAGACTGAGAAACACAAAATATCAATTTAAAGAATTGTTCAACGTATTTGCTGGATTTAAACACTTATTATGAAATGTAAATTGAAGCTAGGCTATAGGTTTATGTTGTATGCTTTACGACAAGCCTGAGATAATAATATAGCTTAATTTAGAAGAATATTCCCTTTTTTTGTAAAAAGTCAGATGATAACTCTCATGTCTGTATGCTAAATAGGAAGCTAGAGCAAGAAGCCGGTTAGCTTAGCTTAGCATTAAGACTGGAAACTAATAAAACAGCTAGTCCAGCTCTGTCCAAACAGAATAAACTCTGTCTACTAGCAACTCTAAAGCTCATGAATGAGGGATTTCTCTTATCTGAATCTGAACAAAAACAGACGTGTAGAAAGGACAAGTTTCTGTTTTACGGTGGGTTATGTGCCAAACTATTTCTTGGCCAGAGACGCAGAGACTTCCTGTCTTTATGCTAAGCTAAGCTAACCAGTTCCTGGCTGTAGCTTCATATTTACCACACAGACATGAGAGCGGCATCAACTTCCTCATCTAACTCAGCAATAAAGCGAACAAAACTATTCCTTCAACCTACCTCCCATTCATGCATAGCGGAGAGACTACAAGTCCAGTCTGATCCTGCCATTGTGCATGAGTCTGCCCTCGTCTGCCAAAAACAGTTTGTCACAAGAAATGTCCCTACGTGTAGTCTGTTTCCTTTCTGTCAGTTACAGGGATTTAAAATGAAAACCACAAAGTGCTTGGCTCTATCTGTAGTGACAAAGTTCACTTAAGGACCTTTGAGACTGAAGAGTGAAAGGAAGTATGGATTTCTCTGTCACACACCAACACAAATGCCTGTCTGTGGATTAAAAGCAGAAGTTATTCTTGCACCTATTTTATTGGAAACAAGAGAGAAATAAACTTCTCTTGCGTTACGAGAAGCAAAAGTGAAACATTACTGATTCCTAAATCACAAAACGCCCCACAGCAGAAACAGTTGGAACACGGAGATCAAACTCAAAACTCAGCATGAGACCGATTTGAAAAGAAAAATCATCCTTGATCTGAGCTCCGAGAGTGTTGGCTCGCGATTAATAAAATCTCTAACAGTGAAATTTGTTCCATCGTTTCCAAAACATGCTTCTCAGCCCTGCAGTGTACAAAAAAATCCAACTGATTCTCAGCAGCGTGAAAATATTTACACCCCAGCAGATTGTGGAGTCTAATACATTTCATCACATTCAGTGGACTCGATCAAAGTGTTTGCTGCGGTGTGCCTCATTCCTCCAAAACTCCCACTACTGTCTCTCATAACCGTCGGCTAATTGCTGTCAGTGACACAGTGGCAGGGACATTTTTCACATCATGTTCCATCAACAAAGAAAACACAAATATTTCTCCTCACACTTCACGAGTCCTGTCACCTCATTTTTCTCCATGCAAAATGAGTTTTGTACCCCGTTATAAAGCCTGTGACTCTCTGCACAGTGATGCATTTGTACTACTCATTACTGGCTCACGCTGATTATTAATATTATCAGACAGCTGAAGTACAGTTTGGTGTTAACCTCTATGAGTCAGTCAACACCAGGTCTGTGCGTAGGGCTGTCAGAATGACGCGCCTCCATAGTTTGTTGGCAGCAGCAACGCACAAGTGTCATAGTTGAACACTCTGAAAGCAAAAGTGATGACAAAAGTTAAAAGGTAAAGCTCAGCCGAGGTCCAGTGTGTAACATTAGGAGGATCTATTGTCAGAAATGGAATATAATATTCATAGGTATCTTTTTATTAGAGTACAATCACCTGAAAATAAAATCATTGTGTTTTGTTACCTTTAGAATGAGCCTGTTTTTATCTAAGCAGAGAGAGCCGGAGGGAGGCCGTCATATTGAACCGTCATGTTTGTACAGTCGCCCCAGGGTTCAAGTTGTGTGGGAGCCAGTGGGAGCCAGTGGGAGCCGAGCTCCCGTAAGAATGGGTCTCATGAAAGAAGTAAAATCATACGTCTGCGGGGGTTGCTAATACATTACCAACAACCATGATTTGAATACATTTTTCAGTGTAATGAGTATTATATCTCTCTGTATTCACTGCTTGCTTTCTTTTGGTTTTACGACTCGCAAAACCCGATGCATGCTCCCATTAGCGGAGTGCTACATAGGATACGGTACTGTACCAAAAAGGGTGGAAATGAATTTTCCCTTTGAGTGATGGGTCTCGGTTGGCATATTTCCGTCTATTGAAACTTTGCTGCAATATCGTAGGGCAGTTTCAGGTTGTTGCAATCTACTTAATACAATTGCTGCAATTAGTGGACTGCTGTGTGTGCGAAAGTGTAGGACCACGTAATGAGCGGTGAAGAGTCTCACTCTCTCTCTTTCATGGAAAGAGCCCCCATTAGGCTATTATTTATTTATCTCCACCCTGAACGCTGCTTATTTTAGAAACCCTCACAAAGCTTAGATTATAACTCAAACCCAGAGTAGCCGAGAACGGGCAAACGAAACACTGGCTCTAGATAGGGCCTTTCGACTTTTGTGGCCACTGTAGTTTCTACGACACACTTGGAAGCGGGTAAGCTGCAATCTGCAACTACACCGCTAGATGCCACTGATCTGTCCTACACACTGGTCCTTCAATTGAAGATTCATTCTAACATTTTGGGCGATACCATTAAAGCAAAATATCAGCTGACATGCTGAGGGCCTAAACCCGCACTCAGTGATTTTTGCCCACTTTGGGGGCAGCACAACGAGCTGGTGCAGGTATACAGGTAGCATAAAGTGAGTTTTTTCGCTGAAAATGACACTGATGAGTTGTGAGAGTGAACCAAAATGGCAAATCTGCAGGTTTGGAAAATGAAAACATTGAGATTAAAGATATTAAAATGCTCCACAGAGCTGCAGAATTAGATGATTATTGATAGAAAAATACTACTTATAGCAGCTTGAAGGTGGTTTCCTGCCTTATATCTTGAGGCCTTGTCTTCAAGAGGGCTCCTGTGTCAAGTTTGTTTCAGTTTTCACATTGTTTAAAGCCAAATTGAAACTGTCAGCGACCTTAATTCTGGCACTTGAACCAAAACCAAATCAGTTTTCGGCTGAGGGAACCTGGGAGTTCACTGGTCAATGAGAGCTGCCTCTATAATTAACCTAAGTGATAATCTTTTATCCCACAGACACAGAAACAGATGAAAAAGAGGCAGAGAAGCACAGAATCACAGATTATTGCATGTTTTTCCCCCATTTTTCTCTATGTATGGTTGCAGCACAAAACCAGCCCTGCAGTGCATTCTCACTTCTTCTCCTTTGTTTGGACTTTTGCAGAAATCTAACAAACCATTTAAAATGTAAATACCTGCCTTTAACGAGCAGCCCTGCTGCAACTGAATACACTGTCTTTACTGAATGATATAGTAGCAGCCAGTGAGCTGTCTGAATTTATACAGTCTCAAGTGTCTCGTTCTCTTCATGCCTAATTTGGTTGGTACAGTTCTTTAATTCAATTTTGGTTCCTTCTGCCTCTCGGTAATGTGTTTTCAACCTGTGTTCATAGACGTTCTTCATAAATAATAAATTCTACCTGACCTGAGAGACCTGAGACTCGATAGTCTGAGTCAAGTCAAGCCTGCTGCAGCGCTGCACTGCACATTGACCTTGGCACCAAACCATAAAAGGTCCTTCGATTTGGAGGAGGCCGCAGGACCTGCTTCCCACCCTGCTTCAATTTCAGCGTTGTTCTTAATTCTTGACAAATCGCCCCCAAAGGAGCAAGAAAGCCATCAACTCTTAAGTGGTTCTTCTCATAATCAGTCATAAAACCCTGGAACAGAAAATGGCTCATTCGGTCTGACTTTCTTTGTCAGAAACTGCTGTTTTTAGCTCTGCAGTCATTTTCTGCCCAACACTGTCACCAAGTCGACTTCAGACCAACTCCTCTGATGCTGTGGAAATATTCGGCCACGTTGAAGGTCACTGGTTCTTATGTTTTTTTGTTCGCTGCCTAAATATGTGTGCCTAAAATGGTCTCCAAACACTCCAAAGATCCTAAAAACTCACTGCATTAAAAATGTAACATTCTACATTATAGATATGATTATATAAATGTCTTTCCTTTTTTGGGGGGTGGGGGGGTCATTCTCAAATAAGCTCTAACAGCATGAAAGTAGATTTCTGACACTGGCAAAGCATTGAAATGGTGACACATCAATTTCCATTGAAAAGGGGGATAAAACTGCCTCTGTGAGCTGAACAAAATAACATAAAATGACATGACAAGCCTGTATAATCACTTCTTCATCGCTTCAGTCTGGGAGCTCCCCTGAGGTTTTGGTATACATTCACATATTCTGCTGCAGAAAAATGCATTTTCATTCCTCTGTTAGATTCTTGTGACAGTCTGGCTGATGTGTCTCCTCTTCTAAGAGGCTGTACATGCTGTCCCTTCAGCCTCCAGAAGGGCTGCACAATGAATCAAAATCGTATCGAATTCGCAATCTGCCAAGTGAAAAATCCAAATCACAGAAGCTGCAGTTTTCAAATAAAGGTTAAATGTGTGACAAAACGGCATCATGATTACATACTGCCGTGGTTCTCCAGATGGACAAACCCCCACAAATTTCAAATCATCATGAGTTGAATAGTTTCTTCAGTGAAAAATGAAGTGAGTTTATGAATGTAACTATGTACCAGAATCAACAAAAGCTGAAAGATCCTTGTAGGGGGTTTAAGTACTGTACTTAGGTACAACTTGGGTGTCCTAGTACCTGGATTTCAAACAGAAACAAACATCTTTGTCCTGGTTTTTGGCAGCCTCTTCCTCCTGGGCCACATCTTTTTGCTGCAGCTCTGAAACAGCAGAGTATGTGCTTTGTTGGATCTCTCCTTCCCAATGGTTTTCAGACTCAGGGCCTGCTGCATCAGCCCAACTTGAAGTTTCTGCAGCTGGAGGTTGACCTGTTCTACCTCTTCTTCTGGCTGGTGCATTCATCTTCAGTGTTGCAGGGAACAGGCTCGATGGCCTTCTTTATCAATGTTACTCATTCCTGCTGCAGTTTCACACTAAGGTCCATGATGCCCTTTTTTAAAGCCAGGACCTTCTCTTGCTTCTCTTGTTTAGCATCCTTGGTCTCATCCACACCGAGCTGGATATCTTCATGAGTCAGCTCAGAGATACCTTTCTTATCAGTCTGTTTCGTCATGTTCATGTTCAAGACTCACAGATTGAAACGTCCTCGCTTCACCCTCCCTTTCAAATGCAAAGGAAAACTATGGTGGCCACAAAAGCCAGTGTTCGGTTTGTCTGTTCTGGGCTACTGTAGACACATGGTGGTTCAACATGGTGGCGACCCATCTGTAGATAAAAAAGTGTCATTCTAAGGTAACGAAAACATAATGACACTTAATTTCAGGTGAATGTTACACACTGGACCTTTAAGAAGGATGTAGAAACCAAGAGCTCCTCTCAACTAGAAATGTGCTTTACACAAAGAAACAGAAAATACACAAAAGAACTCAGTTCACACTGTCTTACCTTAGCTAGTGGAAGTTTTGGCTGGTCATTGAAAACTAGCTTAAACTCACCAAATGTTTGCTCAAAACAAACAAAAAAACTGACTCCAGCGATGTAGAAAGAAGGTGAACACAAAATCCTCCAAAATGGAAAAAAATAAAGCTTTATAGTCTTTTAAAACCTCATTTTTACTCTACTATTTTTTCCTGGTCTCTCTTCTTTTGTTTCTGGCTCTGTTTTCCCTCTCTCTCCAGCAAATGGCGCTACAGCTTTCTGATTGGCTGTAGATCCTGAGCGGGCTCTGATTGGCTGTAGGTCCTGACTGGGCTCTGATTGGCTGTTACCTGCCCTTTTTAAAGGAGCAGCACACAAAGTAAAACTACTATTATACCTGTTAATGTTAATGAACTTAATGATTTATTTGTTTAACCTTTTATTTGTTTTAATCTTATATTAACCTACCTTAAATAGTACGTTAGCGAGGAAGTGGTTGAATGCTAATGTTATTGTCTAACTATAGCTAATCGATTATCATGTATGTTGTTTTACCTTGAAACATGGCCAGATTTTTACTCTTCATTGTCAGTGAAATTATAACATTATATCAGATTCCTTACAGTTATACAACTTATAACCTGAAATACATCAGTACAGAATTTTAGCTTCCCACCCTGAGCTTGATGTCAGAGGGAAAAGGCCGCCATGTGAAAATGGTGATATTAAACTGTCCCTATAATTAATGCAATTTCAGCCAATCTCTGTGAATCCTGCGTGACCTTGCAGTTTTGTCCAATCACTACTTTTCCCCAAATTGGACCAATAATTGTAGTTCCTCGCAAGTTTTACCAATCATGCTTCAAGATTCTCCCCAAAAAAACATAACATTTTGGAGGGAATCTTTTTCATATTGTGGCATCTGATAGACGGATGTAATGTACCAAACAAATATTCTAATACAATAATATAACCGGAGATTAAAGGAGGTGTCAATTAAACACACTGTGTGATCTGATCAACTAGAGTAAGTGCATTGGGTTATCCTTGGGTGTCCATGCATTGACATTTTGCTGATCATGTTGTAAATTGGGATGAAGGTAGCATGGAGGAGGGTGAGGTAATGAATTTGTATGTTTGTATTGTCCCCAGAACTTTTGAATTGTTAGTGCTCTTCCTGCAGCAGGTTGTTAATACATTGAAACTGTCCTGTGTAGTATGCCTCTTATTTAATTCCCATTGTTTATATGGAGTTCTTTCCACAAAGCCTTTGCTGCAGATGTACAAATGTCTGCATATTTGAGGTGTCTTATCTCGCGTTGTCCTTACAGCCTGATTAAAACTCTCATTTTCTGCGTCCCTGATTCTCATCAACTCAGAACTCATTGTTTTAGTCTTTTGAGGTTTACTGCTGATCCAGGAGCTGCTGCCGTTGCCTACTTCTGACTTGAATAGCGCAACCAAATCATCAGCACACAAGAAGCATTTTATCTTGAGTCCTCCGGCGTTTTTTGCTTATTCATTTGGATACATATTGGAGGGTGCAGCTGCAGCTGTTGATTCATGAGGAGAGGTTTGATTTTTACTGCTTATAGATGTCATTTGTATAATTTCATGAGTTTCCCTTACAATTCTATTTAGCAAAAGCTGTTTGTGGCATATTGGGCCTCACATTTGCAACAAAACATGAATAAAGTTTGTTTGGATTTACATGTTTTTCCCAGGAGACACAATGTGCAACCTTGATGTTTTGGGAGGATTTAATTTTCAGTGGTGGACAATAGCTCCAAACATACCCAGTTTGTTGCTGACACATGCCTTTGCAGGTGTTCAGGTCATATTTCTCGGTATTTTTGGACAGATTTTAGCCTTAAGTCCCGGTGTCGGTGGGCGGGGGGGAGCCCACACTCTGAGCTGTGGCTGAATAACTGTCACTCACTCTCATTGTCTCTTGCTCACACACAAACAAACACACACTCAGACACAGGCACAGCTATACAACCATCCACTGGCTCCCCCTGTCCTTCAGCCTCACAGCCACGGTTGTCATGACAACAGAGAGGCTAATCTCCAGTGGACAGAGAGAGAGAGAGAGAAAGTGCTTGCACAGAAACGTGCCTCTGAGAATGAGGAGCAAGTGTGTGCGCGTGATAAAGAGATGTACATGCTTGCAGATTTCTGAGTATATGTGTGTGTTTAGGAGAAATAAATTAAGTGTGTGTGTGTGTGTGTGTGAGCGAGCACGTGTTTGTGATGCAGCCTGTGCGTGCGTGTACATTCCACCATGACATACAGACTGCATTTCTATAAGAGGAGTCATTACTGAAGCACAGAAAGCCCCTTTTTTATATATATATATATTTCTGTATGATAAAAAACATTCTTCTGCTCCATCCCTCTTCCAGCCTTTGAATCCATCACTTTCTTTCATTTTTTCTTCATCATCCTGATGAATTCCTTATTTAGTCCCCCCTTAAGACTTCCCTCTCCTTAAAACTCTTAAATGCATCCCTTCAGCTTTTGTTTTTTCTCTCTATACCAATTATCTGTCTTTTCCTTTCCTCCCATCATCTCTTTTCTTGTGGCTTCATCCCTCCCTTTTCCCCTGATCTGTCTCCGACACGCCCTTTTCTTCTCTCCAACAATTCTTAAATCTTCCCATCATCCTCTCTCTTGCATTCTTCCTGTCAATCTTTTCATCCTTTGGAACAGCATGAACCGTCTTTCCTCTCTCTCTCACACACACATGCACACACTCCTTTCATCCCTCTTCTAATTCCTAAATCCATCCCTCTTTCTCCTCTCAGCTTTCTAGCTCCTTCAGTTCCTACCCCCTCCTCTCACGCACACACATACACAGTGTCCATCCCAGTTTCTCACATTCCTAAATCCTGAATGCTTGCCTAGCAGGGATCACACACAAACACACACACTGGCACCACCATATGATTACGGCTGTTAGGCTGGCAGAGCCACAGGGCAGTCAGCCACGAGGGATATGGAGGATGAGATGAGGAGACAAGCAGAGAGAGGATTGAAGTGGAAGGAAAGCATGGATTGAGTTGATGGAGAGATGAATGTCAGACGTGGAACTCATTATATTGGTTCAAGATGGGTATTATGTATACTGTGTCTATTGGAAAAACAATCACACTGTTGTCCTGTACAGCGCAGTGGTTTTTTTGCTACGACCCATTATAGACAGCTGCCGCGCGTGCACGTGCGCCGCCTGCGTGCAAAGATGTGTTCGGGGATTAAGGTGTTATCGGTAGAGGGCGGAGTTTGGAGAGTGCGAGAGAGAAAGTGGGAGTGGGGGACGCTGGAGCTCAGAGCATATGCTGCGTATATATGAACGACATCTCTATGCGGGAATGCATTACATGCACGCATGAGGCGGGCGGGATGAGAGGCGGGAGTCGGGGGTTCCCCGTTGACTGCCACGGGGCCTTTATAATTAGCGCGAGTCGTGTTTTGACAGAGTAGTTGTGTCCGGCGCGCGCCCACACACACACACACACACACACACACACACACACGTCTTAAGAACAGCGGGAGATGCATTACGTCATAGCCTCCCGTCGCCCTAGATGACCGCGCGCGCAGGACGGGATGATGCAGGGCTGCTGGACTACATCGGGAACTGATTCCGCTGCTGCTGCTGCTCGCGAGCGCCCGGTGGCGGTGTCTCGACCGGACGAGGAAGAAGAGGAGCCGCCGTCGCGCGGCCGCCGGCTCTGATGGCTCCTCGCGCCCCGGGCACAGAGACACAGCAGTCGCCGCGGCGCGAGAGGGAAGGGGACAGCAGGTATCTGGGAAGTGACGTGGTATCCGCGCCCCGCGAGCAAGCACAACGGTGCGGTTGTCGTGCGTTTCACAGGAGGGCAGGAGCGGGAAGGGGAACATGGCCGCGCAGTCGGACGGCGGCAAAGCCGGGGTCGGGTGCGGCGGCGGCAGCCTTTCGCTTCTCAAGGTCTGTTACGGTAACTTGATAACGAGGAGCCGCTGGACTCCGCGGCATCCACACTCCTTCAGTGCTGCCGCACCTCCGCCTCTACTGGGCTGCCGCTCAGTCTCGGCTCCCTGCTCGGGGGGGGCCAGCCGGTCGGAGGGGTCGGCATCCGGGAGACTCACTGCCCGCCCCGGGAGCAGCTGTGGCTGGACTGCCTCTGGATCATCCTCGCCCTCCTCGTCTTCTTCTGGGACGTTGGTACGGACCTTTGCCTGGCGGTGGACTACTATCAGAGGCAGGACTACCTCTGGTTCGGCCTCACACTCTTCTTCGTGCTGGTGCCGTCGGTGCTGGTCCAGATTCTGAGTTTCCGCTGGTTCGTGCAGGACTACACCGGCGGGGGGCTCGGGGAGGTGGAGGGGCTGACTAAGCGGGGCGCGGTGGCTCTGGGGTGCCTGTATCCCGGCAGGGACCGCCTGCAGCTGGCCACCATCTGGCTGTGGCAGGCCATCATACACATCCTCCAGCTGGGACAAGTGTGGAGGTAGGAGGGAGGGCACAAACAAAAACACACACCTGATACTAACCTGTCACCTCTTCCTCTCGCTCTCTCACACACACACTCACTCAGCCTTTTTCACACACACACACACACACACACACACACTTAATGTTGCTAATGCGTAGAGCGGAGTGTCTTACTCAATGTTACTAGAAGAGAGCAAAGCTTGCTTCACACTGACAGGCAGGAGAGGAAGAGCAAGAGGAGGACAGGGAAAGGCTCTCCGTGACCTCCCCAGCGCTTCAGTTACTATCTGAGAATGACAGACAGATATGAAGAGAGACAGTCAGAGAGACAGTGATCCCACTTTCACAGTCAAACTCTGTAACTTTTTTTGAGTTTCTTTTCTTTTTTGGGTCACCGGATGAAATTCTGCAACTCATACTGTACTGAATTAATGGCTGAGAGGGGTACAAGTCACTGACAATACCTACTACAACTGTAGCAATCATAGTGTTAGTACAATAAGCCTACACACACTCTTTAGTACCTCATATATCCCCATCCTCAGTGCTGAGACGCTGTCCGTGGTGCTGAATGCATTTTCAGCACCACGGACAGCATCTCAGCACTGTTCTTCACTTCAGTTGGACAACAGAGGAGTCAGGACTCTGTGTGTGGTGTGTGTTGTTGTGTGTGTGTGTGTGTGTGTGACCAGTGGAAAAAACGGTGTCACGGCTCTTCTCATGAGTGTCAGCATGCATGGAGAGTACAAAGAGGAAAAGCATCTGCGCTTCTGGCAACACATCTCCCTCTCTATCTCACTCCGTCCCTCCCTCTCTCTTTTCCCTCACACACACACACCCACACCACCACACAACACCATACACAAATACACACAGTTGGATATGGGTAGGTGCTAATTGTAGTGCTAAAAGCACTGGCGGGAAAGAAAACAAGAAACACAAATGCACCCTCTTGCTCTTATATACACACACTGTAGGTTCCTTGCTCTCCTGGCTCATGATTTCATATACTTGCATGTGTGTGTGTTTGCTTGTGCATGTGTGTGTGTGTGTGTGTGTGTGTGTAGCGTTGGCAACAGAAGTAGTAGTAGTAGTAGCAGGAGTGCGCTAGATAGTCTCCTGCCTCCTAGCCCTCTAAACAAGGACAGTGCTCATTCTCCCTCCCCGAAAAGACTCCTTAATGGTGTCCTCTTGCCTCTGGGTGGACAGCGGGGAGAGTAGAGTAATGAGTATGTGTGTGTAGGTGTGTGTGTGTGTGTGTGTGTGTGTGTTTACATCCTTTTGTGCTACTCAGCTCCTCTGCTCCAGCCTCTCTGTGGTTGTAGGGTTAAATCTACCCCACACACACACACACACACACACACACATACACATTCCTCCTATACCTCCATTCACCCCACCCAGTAATCACCCCCCACAGCCTGCATAATGGACTCGCCCACCTGGAGGAAGTGGAGGGGCAGGGGAAGGAAGAAGGAGAAGAAGAAGGGAGCGCGGTGGGGGGTGTAGTGTTTGTACAGCTGAAGAAATGGTACGGCCTGATTGAGACAGATCGCTTGGAGATGGAGAGAGAAGGAGGGGCGAGGAAGGATATGGAGGAGGGAGAAAGGGTTGCACAATGTGAGTAGAAGGGGGAGGGGAGAAGAAAGAGAGCGAGAGAGGGAAAGGAGGAGTGAGAGTGATGGGGGTAGGGTGGAAGGGGTAGGAAGATCTACTGTATTCGGTACATATGGTTTGAAACCACATCCCTCCATGTCCAGGCGTTAAGTGCCTGTCAGGGTCGCCGTCCACGCTGCGCAGTAAAGCCTCAAACCTTGACCTGCACGCAAATACAAGGACTTCCTGTTTATAGATTTTAAAGAAGCCAAAGAAATGATGCTGGTTATTCATCTCTCATTGTTCTTGAGTCAAGGACAAACAGCATGTTGGTGTTTGCGTCTTATTTTAAAGCTAAAAAGATCAATTAAACCAGCTTTAACTGGTTTGTTTAGCAGCATTGGCATATGAAGGGTAATAAGGATAGGTCGGGATGTATAGGACGGCTCTCGGCCCTGGAGGGTCAATAAAAACACAGGAAGTCGGGGAGGATAACTTTCACGTTTTAGTGTAAATTCAATAATGTACAGCATTGATCGGGGATCGGGACCCCTCCAGTGGCTCACAGGATAAATCTGAGGAGCTTGTGAGATGATTCATGGGATAGAAGGAAGAATAGAAAATGTTCTGCTGCTAAATTTACTTCTTTTTTGGGGTATTTTCTCAAATCTTTTGTGAAATAAGGGATTCTGGTAGCATTGTTGTAGCACAACTTTCGCGTCTAACTCATAGAATTCTGGGAGACTGTCTATGGGGTTCAAAATTGCGTTATTATATACCGTAGAACTTAAATTAAAAGCAGGGTCCCAATTAGAGGTCTGATCTGAATTTAATAGAAGTTCTTTGGATGTATAAAACATGTTAAATCCCACCAGGTCTAAGCTGCTTAGATCGCCTACTCAAATACAAACGTTTTAACTTTTGTCAATACGGACGCATCATTAAATTGGTTTGATTCAATCCTTCAGTTCATTTTACAGAAACCATGAGCACCAAAGTATCAAATGATTAAATGAGTGATTTGTGACTGATATGTTATTCAGCAGCCCAATTTTTAATATTCATCTTGGTTTAAATCAGTATTTCCAACTTTGCTGAGCAAGAGTTTCATGCAAAAGGAATTAAAGGCCTGTCCCATATAGAGGCCTGTTCCAAATAAAGGCAGGTTGAATAATAAAAGCCTGGGCTATTAATTGAAGTTTTACTGTGTTTATAAAATGGAATCTGGATTGTTGATGTCAGTTGGATATCCAATATGTGAGTTAGGTCAGTAATCGGCACCTGATACTGATATTGGAGCTCAAAATTTAAGAAAATAACACCATTTATTTTAAGGGGTCATGAGCCAATGCAACCATGTTTCTGCAAAGTAAGCCCAGAGAGGACATCTGTACATAAAATATAAAAACACACACATTAACAATGCAGTGAGAACTCCATTTCCAGAATAAAGATGTGAAAAACTTTCTGTTGAGTGTCACACGCCAAGTGTGGGCTGGGAAAAGCAGTCCACATTGGACTTTTCACGCCCCTCTCCTTACCGTGCCACTAGTTCATTAATTAGCAAGGAGTGCTCCCATGATTGGCAGCATAAGTGCCTGCTTATGCCCGGCCTCCGCATCAATCCAGACGGACGTGAGCCTTTTCCAACAACACATGAGTTCTGTGCGTGCACATGTAGGCGTTTTCCTATGGATGGTGCATTATTTATGTTTTGTGAATTAAGCTTGTATGTTTCAAACCAGATGGCAGTAATAGCTGCACATACAGAGCCATGCATAATGTAGGAGCACACACACGCAATGACACCCATGCATGTACGGCGGTAATGCACACGCAGGGAAAGCAGGAGGAAATCATTTGCACACAAGTACATACGTGCGTACACACACACACGCGTGCACTCTGAGTGCCCTGAGGCATTTTTAAATTAAAATCACTGCCTACATCCCACCCACATGTACTGTAGTTTTCCATATCTAGAAACCCACTCAGTATGTATGGATGAAACTCTTGTTCATGAAGAGGTTCCATCAATGATCAGACCGTAATAAAATTCAAACATATTTATAGGAGAAGTTCAGTTAAGCAAAAGAGAGGGCAGTGAGAGGTTCATTCAAGTTCATTTATTGATGAGTATTTGCTGCGGTTACCCACTGCTAAGTTTTCACTTTGGCTGATGAGTTTTAAGATCTGACAGCCAGGACTTTTAATTCTGCTGCCCACAGTGTTGAATTAGAATTATTTTTTTAATGGAAACTCAAACACTAAAATCAGATAATTAACATTAAAGGGGTACCTTTAACATAACATTGTCAAACAGTGCGTGTTGTAAGCCTTTTAAGTGAAAAACACTTCATTTGATAGCAACATTTTACAGGATGTCTGACTTCTTCTAATGAACAACACGTGTATATCTCCAAGTAGAACATTTGTTTAGCCGTGATTCAGGTGAGCCGTTAACAGCTACACAATTTGAATACACCATTTTTTCAACAAGCAAGCTGTTTTCATCTGGGTACCTGTCACTGTACCATCTGCATCAGGGCTACAACTGTTGACTCTTTTCATAACTGATCAATCTGTTTATTATTTTCCTGAAAATAGTGAAAATGGCCACAATAATTTAGTTTTTTTACCAAACCAGAAGATATTCAGGTTATCAGATGTGATGAAGAAAGCAAATGTTGTTTTAAAAAATGACATTTATTGAAACAGTAGCTAATTAATTGGTCAGATTATCAGGGATTAGTGATCATAGTATCAGTGAACTTCTTAAAACCCAAATTACAAGCAGCCAAAAGACAGAATGAGCGAGAAAGAAAATGAATGATAAAACAAATGTATTGTACTATAATTAATTAGCGGTCTTACCTGCAGGTACATCAGGACACTGTACCTGGGCATCATGTCGCGACGGCAGAAGGAGCACCAGCGGCGCTGGTACTGGGCCATGATGTTCGAGTACGCGGACGTCAACATGCTGCGGCTGCTGGAGACCTTCCTGGAGTCTGCGCCTCAGCTGGTCCTGCAGCTCTGCATCATGATCCAGGAGAACCGAGCCGAGACGCTGCAGTGTAGGTGGAGCACAGGTTACGCCGGGTGGACTGCATGAACACTACCAACACCCTGCCACATAGGCAGACCCAACACCATGTTTTTATGTAGCCCACAAAGCACATACAAATCAACAGCTGCACAAACAGTAATTAGCAATTTGCAGACATCATGCTCAGTAATTTGTGGCTGCAGATGGTGTTGCTTTTGGATTTTCACACAGTGTATTTGTTCAGGTAGGCTCCAGGAAGAAAGAACAATCATCATCATCAAGTGTTTGGGGGAAGTGCTAGCCGAACTCCATCAGCCTCCTCTTCCTTATTCATCCAGGAAATGTATCATCTAAGCGGCCACCCACTGGTGTTATTCATCCCTATTACTCTAGAGTTTTGGGACACCTTTTACTTTAATGCAAATATGTGACTAGAACAGGGGGTGGATGCACACAGCAGCTGGGACATTATAAATAACTTTATATTTCAGACTCATGCCATTAAGCGTCATTGCCAAATGTTTCTGTCGTGTCACACTCTACTTCGTATTTAAGGATGTGCTCATATTATTACACAAAACACCCCCAATGACTCATAATAATTTTGCTCTGATGTACTTTTTGTTTCACGAACCTTGATTCACTCCTCTCTCTGTAGGCATCTCCTCCCTGGGCTCCCTCTTGTCTCTCGCCTGGGTTCTGGCCTCCTACCACAAACTCCTGCGGGATTCTCGTGACGACCAGCGCAGCATGAGCTACCGCGGGGCGCTGCTGCACCTCTTCTGGCGCCTCTTCACCATCTCCTCCCGCGTCCTCTCACTTGCCCTCTTTGCCTCCCTCTTTCACATCTATTTCGGCATCTTTGTAGTGGTCCACTGGTGCGCCATGGCCTTCTGGGTGGTGCACGGAGGCACCGACTTCTGCATGTCCAAGTGGGAGGAGGTGCTCTTCAATATGGTGGTCGGCATCGTCTACATCTTCTGCTGGTTTAATGTGAAGGAGGGCCGAACGAGATACAGAATGGTGGCCTACTACACCGTGGTGTTGGCCGAGAACACCATCCTCACTGGGCTGTGGTGAGTTAAACCCAGTAGAACCTGGATGCAACTAATATAATATCATGAAGGAAAAACCTAAAAATCCCTCAAACATACAACAACACCTATAATATATAGTAGATTCAAAGAAAGTCTTCTGAGGCAAGTCAATGTGAGTGGACAGTAAACCTTAACTGTTGCAAAAACTAAAGCTATGGTAAAATCTAGCTATACCTAAGCTAAGCCTGAAGTGCTGCTATCCTACACTGCAGAGACGGTTTAATCAAAATTATGAAGTTATACACCCTCGAAGAGGCAAGGTTTCAAATGTGGATTTGAAAATCACAAGGGAGCCAGCTTCCCTAAGGTAACTAGGAGTTTATTCCAAAACCTGTTTCCTGAGGATGTTGGTTTGCTGAGATCCTAAATGTTTTGTATAAATTTACACTGTAATGAACTCTAATAGTATAAATGTTGTCAGCAATGCAGATAAAACCTCTAAATGTCATTTTAGGTGGTTAAAACTGGATTTAGAAGGTCTTATCAAGGCACTGACTTCATTTTTGTAAACAAATTACATGTAAAGACCAAAACCAACAATAACTGTATCCTACTAAAAAGTATTGTGTGTGTATCCAAAGCTGGATTTATCGTATTCCTCTGTGCCGTAGAGCTCCACAAAAACTATTAAAAACACATCGCTGAGCCACGCTGTTGCACTGGCTGACATGTTCCTTCAATATGCCGAACGTACATACTGTAGTTCATTTTGGCTCAGTCCCATACTCACCGTCCTGCTGCCAGAAATAATCGCTAGAGCAACAAATGTGGATTCATACGCCGCTCAAAATAGTCCCCAACAAATATACTGTTTACTCCTGTGTGAGTAACATTTGCTAACAACTACCAGCTTTTAAAGATTGACTTCTTCAGTATGAACCAACAGCTTGGGCTATGGAAGTCAGAAAGTATTAGGAGACAGATTAATAATTGGTTGGCTTTGAAACTGGATTTTCAGATGTGTGTAGAATGTGAGGACATGCTGAAGGACATTGTTTCATTTCAGTATAAAGTAAGAACATATGACAGGTGTGTGGGGTAAAGTGATTTATTATTTTACATAAGCACAGACACTTGCTTGCAGGTATGCCTACAGGGATCCAGTCTTGACCGACTCCTACGCTGTCCCAGCACTGTGTGGCGTCTACCTGACATTCGCCGGCGGTGTCCTGGTCATGTTGCTGTACTACGGCTTCCTGCACCCCGCCAGCGCCCACCTCCAGCCAAGCCCCGCCTCCTCATGCTGCGCCCAGCTGCTCTGGGGCCTCCCCCTGCCTCCGTCAGCCCCGCCCACCGCTCCGCCCACCCCGGCCCACATGACCAAGTCACAGACGGAAGAGGATGTGGCCGAGACATGTCTTCCCGTCTTCCAGGTGAGGTCAGCGCCCCCCACCTCCAAGCCCGAGGGCCCGCTTATAAAGATCGACATGCCCAGGAAGCGTTATCCAGCATGGGATGCCCACTACGTAGACAGGCGCCTGCGGAGGACTATAAACATCCTGCAGTACATAACGCCGGCCGCTGTGGGCATCCGCTACCGTGACGGACCCCTGCTGTATGAACTGTTGCAGTATGAGTCCTCACTCTGACACACACACACACACATCAACACACATCAGTACACATAAGCACATAAAAAGACATGTATGTATAGGTGGATGTTCAGATTTAGAAACACATTCTCACACACACAACGTGGCACTTGATGGAAGCACACAGGCACAAAAGCAATCTGTCACACTTTTATGCGCACACACACACACACACACACACACTAACAAACACACAC